AAGACAGTGAATTTATAACTCTTAGTTGCATTCAGATGGAAGATTTTATGACCTATTCAATACTGTTCTCACATAGGAAGTAAGTAGGTAGCAAATTTGATAGTATAAAACTTCTCAATTCTCGGGCCCTCCCTAGTGGCACAATGGGTCAAAGCGCAGCACTATGAAGCTATCTGCAGCCACTGCGGCCTGAGTTCTATCCCTGGCCAGGGAGCTGACCCACATGGCACAACAGACCTCTCCTGTCTCACCCACTGCTCTCTTCAGCAGTGTATTTCAGTAGATCTGCCTGTTCTGCTCCCCACTCTGTATCTGGTGACTTCTCTCAGTCCCCACCTCAGTTGGTTCATACCCCAGTTCTGTATGCATAAATAAATTAAAAAAAAAGAAAATTCTCAGTTCTCTAAGAACTCTTAAGAGTCATATTCAGATCCCATACCCATAACTTCAGAATGGGCATTAGACTAGAAAAGAGGGAGCTGACTGCAAGTTTTCTATTCAGCTGAGCCTGGTTCATTTTAATAAGTCCAGCTGGTACCTTGTCCTGCCCCATCCCACACCTACACACACATGTACAAAGGGGAAATATATAAAAATAACTGCAAGCCCGGGCATTTAGTCTCAGAAATTTATCTAGACAATTGCCACTTATAGTAGCATTAGTCCTTGTTCTCAATCTTCTTGAGATTTGGAGACTTCTACTAATTCAGGGCTCCCCAATTATGTCTGCCTATATTTTTTGTGCTACTAATCCCACTTCATGGATTGTCAAACTTTTTTCTACATGCTTGGACTTCAACAGCATTCTAAAATCTCTATTCCTCTCTCTACCCTTCATAAGGTTTTGCACAACTACCTTCGTTCTCAATCCTTTCATTGGACAGTAACAAAATAACAATCATTACAGAGTATCTGCAGAGGTCAGCTAGTGTTCTACATACTTTGCTCAGGTATGCAACCTCTGCAGGTCATCTCACTCCCATTTTTAGATGAGGCAACTATAAGAGAGATTGAAAATCATGCTCCAAGTCATGGCATGTGAACAAAGAGCCTTCTTACAGCAGTCTTCTCCTGGTACAGTTAGCCTTATGGTCCTTTCTAGAATTTTACATGTATCCTTTTTCTCCTGGAGACAACAAAATGAACTTGATGTTTGCAAAGGTGCCCTAAGAAGCCAAATTATTAACCTTAACATTTGAAACTCAGCACCCATTGGCCTGATTTTGCCTTGGCTGGGCAGTTGTCGTGGCCATAAAGAGTTCATGTTGGGAAATCATTGACTCTTCTCCAAGCCAGCCCCCTCAGTGCTTAATCTCAGTACTTTCCAAACTCTGTTTCTGTAATACCCTATTTCCACCCCATCTGCCTCTCCAAATATTCAAGTGGAATTCTTACTACCCTGTGGATGTTGAGTCAGCTCAAGATACTGATCTGCTGGGATTGTCCCTTCCACTCAATCCCTGTTAGAAATCACGTAAGAAAGTCAGTGTGAACTGACGACTCAGCAATCCTTGAAAATTCAGTTGGTGTACAAGTCTGAGCACTCCCCAGCAAAGTGAGTATTGACTAAATCATACAGATGAACTTAATTTGTTAAGTATCAATGTCTTTTGTCATATGCAAAATAATCTGTATGATTGTTGGAAGGCTATTATTTATCTGCAACCCGCACTTGATATTATATTGCAAGCTGCACCTTTAAATAAAACAAGATGATGAAAGCAGGTCTTCATTTTGTTCGCCTTTGGCCAGGAGTTTTTTTCCCCTAATTGTTTCTGTAACAAAACATGTGGAAAGAGGGTTTTATCTAAGGACATGCTGTGTGGATGTGTGTGTGTGTTTTCAATACCCTCCAGTCAAAGACCTCCAGAAACATAAATATAATTGAACAAGTTTATTGCTCCTTGAAATTAACCAGAATACACATCATGGGGAACAGTAGGATAACTCAATAAGAGAATCTAAGGAAGAGCTAAGTATAAAATTGGGGCTTTTATTGGGTGATTTGGGGGAGGTTTCAAGAAAATGGGACTTCATATGAATTGGATACTGTCAGAAAGATGGGGTAATTCTATATCTGACTGTCTTGATAAATCTTATCTAGGAGGAAAGCTAAAGGCTAAAGCTCCCTCTGGTAAAGAAGCAGCAGTCACTGATATTAACCAGGGGAAGGAGTAGGTGATATTTTTGCAATTTGTATAGTCATCTTGTTTTCATCTGTTCATGGGCAAGATACAAAATTCTTGTCCGTCTCTTGATCTGCCTCATAGAGAATGATCTTGATTGCTACTGACATTCTGCAAAGTTATGGCTCCTCACTAAGAGACAACCACATTCTTGCCCAGAGCATCAGACCAGCTCCCGGGCACCATGACCTCACTGAGAGAGCATCAGATATGTATTAAAAATAAAAAGCATTTACAAAAGAAAGTAGAAGTTAACTCTTCTGGGAAGCTGAAACTCTGTTTACAGAATTCCCTTCACTGCATGGTTCCAAACTAGAGTGTGCACAAGAGAAACTTCCATGAGCATTGAGAAGGGGGCTGAAGCAACAGTGTTCATTGTGCTCTAAAAGCTGACAGCACGCATCAAGCACTGTGGCAGTTCCTGCACAATGCCATTGATCTGTTAGCTCACCAGGCTGGATGGGAACAGCACCAGGTGCACAACAAATCCAGCCCTGCTTGAAATCCTTGTGCTTTCTCGGATACCCCAATAACCAGATGTGCACAGCTACCTGCCAGGGGCACCGCTTCTCCCACAGGTCTCACACCACTGAAACCGGGGATGGAAAGAGACAATACAGGTGTCCATTTGATCTCATGATCCCAGTTTGCCATGGCTCTGCCAACTTCACCACCAACTTCACAACTGCTAGCTGCTTGATTTCAGGGTCAACACAATTGCAAAGGCAACAGCCTCACAAAGACAAGTGCCCACCACTGAATGTGACTATTGTAATCCTGTATCCTCTATGTCTCTTCTGGACTCTGACTCTCAAATAAACCCTCCAGATGCCAGCAGATAGGAGGTCTCTCATCCCTGGAGTGAGCAAGGACCAAGGTGTGAAGGGGGATGGGAGGGAAGCAGTCCCGGAGTGGCCAGACAGGACGAAGGGATCCTTACACTCTAGTCCTACTGCAGAGTCTTGGGTTTGTGTGTCTGAGTGTTTGCATCATGAGCAGAGCTGAGGGAGGAGGAATGAGAGGAGGTAATCAGCTAAGCGGTCAAGTAGCTGGAGATGATGCCAGATTCTGCTTCTGAGGGAATCAAAGCCATAGCTGAAGTGGCATACATGTGAACCAATCTGAGTGATGTGGCGAGTATGGAAAACGATGGGGAGTGGTAGAGTATGGAGAAAGGGTACATGATGGCCGGATGAGGTGTCAGGGCAGAGTCCGACAATGGAGCACACGTGCACTTGCGAGCTGACTCTACAGAGGCAGAAGCCCTGCTGGACAGACACAGTCCCGCCAGTTACCGTGGGCAGCACCCTCTATGCCAGGCACTATGGCATGGCCTCTGATTTCTCCTCACAGCTATCACAAAGGACAGATTTCTGTTGTTTTGATTTTGGACTGGTGGAAAACATTTTCTCTTTTTTAAAATTACTATCCCAACTTTATTACTATCCATTTATTTTATTAACATTGACTTACATCAAGATTTGTGTTTTAGAGGTATAGGATTCCCCCTTTAGCATTGTCACACCACACCCACCACCCAAGCACACTCCACCTCCCTGGTTCACAGAGGACAGTTTGTCAATGAATCAGTTGATATAACCAGGCTGGAGAGGTTAGATGAACTGCCCAAAGTCAGGGATATTAATCTACATCTCATGGCTCTTAGCTCCCTTATACTTCTCAAGATCTAAGATCTCAAGATCTTCTAGGCTTAAAAAAAGAAAAAAAAAATCTTTGAGTGACTTGACCAATATTTTTGGAATTCAATGTTTTAGCACCAGTCAAGGCTTTGGGGTGACTGCAGTCCTGGACAACCTCTTGAGCAACCTCCACTGACCTCAGCTCCCCAGCTCTTGACCCACTGAAACTGTGAGTCAATAAATATTTCTTGTTTCAGCTGAATACTGGGTGATTGCTATTTAGGAGTTGAAAATTAGTATCTGACATAGTGGCAGGTAGGTGAGAAGGGGGGTACAAGAAGGAGGAGGAGAATTATGGAAAGCCCCAAGAAAGCCTGACAAAAAAAGAAAGTACCAGAAATTTCCTTCTGGCTCAGGGAATTATGAAAAGATGCAGAGATGGAAAGGCAGGTTGAGAAACAAATGTCCTGACCTCTGTCTTGGGGAGAGCCCTCTCCAATAGGCTGAAGGGAGACTATATTCCTGGTTGGGTCTGTGAAAAGCAAATGTCTCCCAGGATGCCCCATGCCAACCCTGTGTTCTTGCCCTTATGATGTCTGGAAAAGACCAAGAAGTTCCCAGAAGCCCTCAAGGGAACAGGAGGAGGTCACCATGAGTGTGATTGGGTAGCTGCCAGAGAAAGTCATCACTGTCGCAATGAGGCTGAATGACACAAAGCAGCCTGACAGAAGAGTCAACCTCAGAGCTCAAGAGGGCCAGTGCCAGCCACGGCTGCAGTCCAGTCAGCAAGGTAAGTCACTGGGCCCCAGGGAAGCAGAGGAAATTGCACAAGTTACACCCAATGGCAATGTCAGCAAAAGCCCCGGAATGGGGAAGACCCAACACACATGCCCAAGATCCAGCAGTAGCTGGAGAGGCCTGTGAACCAGTGCTTAGAGTCACCTGAGCCTCCATGACACCTTGAAGAGAAAACTTCTGAGTAGAGTAGGGCATAAAGGATAAAAGTGGGAGATCACCTCACCCTAAAAAAAAAAGCCAGTGATGGAAAAGATCACTGCAATGATAGGATTGGGTTGAATTTGATTTTCCCTCTGCTATTCGGGGGTGAGGAGAGGGGCTTGAAAGGAAAAGCATACAAGTTACAAAAAACTATACCTATAGTTTCACGGCAAACCTCAATCTTGCGTAAGTAAACAGAAGATTCTATGAAAATAGATCAAAAAGTTTCACAGAGACTCAAGCAGAGTTTGTGCTAGATCTAAAACACCAAAGTCAGAGTCACCCCAGAAATCATCGAATTCCTGGTGTTTTCCACTGTTTGTGCCTTATCGGAGGAGACACAATTCTGTTTGTGCCTTACCAGATGGGACCCAAGTCTCTCTCCCCCAGTCCACGGCCCAGCAAACTGTAAGGGCTGGTACTGAAAAGGTAACATCAGCTTGGCCAGATGATGACTGGGGACTTAGACATATGGGATCTAGTTTCAAGAGCTGTCACCAAACCATCAACCTGACATGTAGCTCAGAGAGGGCGCAAACAGGAAGCAGAGTGGTAGCAATGTTCTCTGTAGGTCAGAAGCCAACCTGCGTCTTACTAAAATGTGCACAGGGGACTAGAAAAGAGAGGACACATCACACCGAGGAGGTCTGTTTGAGGCCCAGCCACTTCTAAGTCGGCTGCCTGGGCTGGCCTGCAGGTGGCTCTTTGGAACTTGGTCTGGCAGGAGCTCTGCAAGAGACCTCATGAAGTCCACGCCTCCCAGTCGACCCTCTTTCCAGCAGAGCGACCGTGACATTCTCAGCACTGAAAGGCAGAGGGCAAGGCCACCAGGTCAGCTGGCTGGGGGGCATCTACTGTGCTAGTCACAGTCTTTTGTGTAGAAATTCTTACAAGCTACAACATCTTCTAGGTGGTTGACATGCCTGGGAGGACATGGCTTTCCAGAAAAAGAGCTCTGCTCCCCTTCTGCTGAGTTTTGTCCCTGAACTCAGATGCCCAGGCACAGCCCAATTCATGGGCAAAACCATACTTCGGAGCCATGCTGCTTTGTACACACAGATCCGGATAGCGGAAAAGCCGCTGCGTGTGCCTGCAGCTCACTTCATGTTTCGCTCTATCCAGTCTTTAAAAGGCAGCACCTTGGTGAAGGCTGTGTAGAGGCTATGGCTGCAGGTCTTGTCATAGCTCCAGGTGACCAGCCCTACCAGATGCCAGCGTGGCTCGGGGGATGCCCGGCCTGGGAATGACACAGCGGCGATGCCCCCTGTCTCTGCTGTGCAGATGTTGGAAGGGGCACTGGGGTCCCAGCTGGAGCAGAACATGTTGTCCGTGACACTCACAGGGATGCCATGATCTTCGTGCTGCTCCTCACACAGGAGCGAGTCCACCACCCTGACCACCCCCGAGCGCAGTGTGTCGTTCTTGAAGCCAGGGCTGCTCACGTCCGTGAGGACGTTCCAGCCAGCCACGGTGATGCGCATCTCCTGGAATGAGGTGCTGAGGTCCCGACTGGCTGCGAGGCAGATGGGTTGGACCCGGGTGCTGATGCGGGCCTTGTCAAGCAGCTTCAGGATGGCGATGTCAGCATCCAGCAGGATGGGGTCATAGTTGGGGTGCAGAATGATCGCAGAAATCTACAGACGCAAGAAAGAGAGCAGAGGTGAGATGCCAAGTCCAGATGAACAAGAGCTGACAAACTCAGGAGGAAATGTCTAAGGGACAGCTGTGGTGATTTGAAAATACTTCACTCAAGGGGTCAGAGGAAGCGACTGCTCCATTTCCTGAGCTGCAAACAGAAATCCTCCTGGAGCCTGTCGAGTAGTGCTCAAGGAGCGGTGTGGACAGGTGAGGATACAAAGGATGAGCACACTCCTGTCTACGTGGGCAGAAGCCATGAGCCCTGCTGACCCCAGCTATGCAGGATTGTAGGGGGCCCGGATTCCAACTCTGCCAAGAATAGACGCCAGATCTTATCTGAGACCTGACTTTTAAATGTTAGCAAATAATGGTTAAAAAAAAAATGTGCTAGCATGATCAAAATATACTAAGTATATATCAAAACTAGTTTGGTGCACTGTAAACACTGTCTTTGCTTCAAGCCATTAAGAACTACACCCTCCCTGAATGATCTACAAGACTTTGCCACAAAATTTTTCCTGATTATCTCAAATTGTCTTTGATTGTCCTATTTGATCAACATATAGGGGCTTTAGGGGCTTACATCTGTGGTATGTGCCTCTGTGTATGTGTGTATGATACAAGATAAAAAGACTTCCATATATAAGTTCTATTATTTGGACTGATTTGTGTGCATTTCCTTAAAGTATCTGTTATGCTGTGCTAATCACTATATACTGGTCTTTCTCTTCTATTGAACTGTGGCTTCTTCATGCCCTATTCAGTTTCCTATTTATTATCAGTGAATAGCATATTCTAGAAGCTCAAATACACACGCGCAGATACTGGGTGGGTAGATGGATGGACAGATGGACTGATAGATGACAGATGAATGGATAGCTGGTTGGTGAATGGACAGACAGATAGTTGCGTAGCTAATAAAAGATGAGAAGGGAGACAAGAAGGTGGGCATAGAGAGAGAAAACTGTGCATTGATTAGGGGAGAAGATTTCATAAACTGACTGGGAGTATCTCGGATGAAAGCTCCGTCCTCAAAAGCTACTTAACACAATGTCCTGAACAGAAAAAGTGATGACCACAATGATAGATGTTATCTGCTACTATCTTATTTTTACACCAATTCAAGGGAAAGAAAACATCCTCACCTTCCGGAGGCTCCTTTTCTAGTAGCTATAGGTTTGAAATACTGGGCACCTGCTGTGCCAGGCCTGCACAGGTGCCAGGGTGTTACGGTGACAGACCTGGCCCAGTCACCCCTCTGCTGGCACTTGGCGTTTGCTGAGCCCGAGGCCCAGTTCCCAGCTCGCAGCCCTCTCTCACCCGCAAACTCTGGATGGTCTTCTCATCCCGATCGTCATCCCGGTAGAACTTCCCCAGGACGACTTTGAGGTCTGCTGTCTTGATCACGGTGACCTTCCCCAGCTCAGTCACACAGTGGGCAGCCACCACCACCGTGCGCTCATTCACCAGGGCGCCGCTGCAGACGAGGAACCACGTGCCCTTGTGTAGGCTGCCGCCGTGCGCGCCACTGGCCCTCCTGTAGATGGCCGCCTGCCATGGCCAGCGTGTCCCCTGGGTCTTGGGAGTGGTGATGTTCTCAGTTTTCCCACAGACTATGGAGAAAGCACCATCTCAGGAAGGTGAACTCAGACCTTCCCACCCAAAGGGGAATGTGTCTCTTGACATCGGAGTACAGAGCGAGAAGGTAGGCCCCAGGGGAATGGTGACCACGGAGCTCCAACCTGTTTATCTTTCCCCCTTAAATATTCATCAACAGGGGCCTCTCTGGTGGTGCAACGGGTTAAAGCACAGCACCATGATGCTATGGCAGCCACTGAAGCACCAATTGGATCCCCAGCCAGGGAGTGACCTACATGGTACAGCAGACCTCTCCTGAGCCACCCACTGCTCCCCTCAGCAGTGTATTTCAGGAGATCTGCCTGTTCTGCTCTACACTCTGTCTCTGGTGAGTCCTCTCACTACCCCTGTACCTCTAGCCTGTACCCCAGTTCTGTATGCATAAACAAATAAATCTTTAAAAAATATTCATCAGCTTCTTTGACAGAGTTGGTTATAAAGTCTAAGTTAAGATGGGAGGCTTCCAATCCTCGGCATTATCCACAGTCCTAATGAGTACTCTAATCAATAGTTAATAGTCTAGTCTAGTCAGTAGGACTTGACTAATCTCTAAGAGCTTCAGTCTTCCTGACTCTGAGATGAATACAGGAATAACAACCGTCCCAAGGTTCTTGAGTAGACTAAATGAGATGATAAATACAAGCAGACTCAGACTCAAATGACTCATTATTAATATGGCCACAACAAACTAAGCCACACTGGTCTCCTTTGACGAAGAGGATGGAAAAGCTGACTCCACACAAGGCTGACTCCACAGCAATCGTCAACATAATCGGTGGGTGATTAATGCTTCATCATCTGATTGATAATGGTTGCATACTGATATCAGATGAGGAGCACAGAATTTGAGGCTGAGATGGAGTAACCAAGCTGCCATCCCTGGAGACCCTGGTACGTTGACTCCCGTCCCCACTTAGTTGATTGCTGCCTTTTCTTGCCCCTTTCTGCAAGTCAGTATGACAGAAGGTGTGCTTCCCCCCCAAAAAAAATCATCTAAGATTTAATGAGTTAATTTCCCCTGGGTAGTAAGTTTAAGTCAAAGGAAGGAAGCTCTGTGGAGTCACAGATATCACCATGCTCAAGAAAGACTAGACAATCGTGTGAACAAAGCAGTGTCCACGGCTTTTCGGGAAGGCAGGGAAGACATGTGCTCTCCTGCCCACAGACAAGCCTAACTCACTTGGGACACAGGATGGGGCGCGCCCGCTCCACTTTCCGGTCCTCAGACATGTCCTCCGGCTGCTGCCCAGGCGGCGGTAGAAGGGCGAGATGCACTCGTACTGGAGCTGGGTGTGCAGATGCTGGTACCCAGGAGGCAGGTCTCCAAAGGGGAGGGCCGGCTTCTTGGTCGGGGCATCCGGCAGGTTCTGCTTGCTGAAGGCTGACGAGTACAGCTGGTGTAGGGGTGTCTCTCTGCAGCAAGGCACACAGGCCCAGAGGGCAGGGTGAGTGGCCACCATCGTGGGCCCTTAGGAGACATACCAATGTCCTCCCCATGGGTATTTGGTTACAAAAAAGGAAAAGTGGTGTTGTTATTCTCTCTCGCTCTCATACACACACACACACACTCACACACACACACACATGCACACAGGCAGGCAGACACACACATTCCCTCAACCCCTGAACAAATTACTCAACCTACGTTTTATTCCTCCGTTTCCATTTCTGGCATGCCTCCAGCTGTCTAGGATCTTAAGCAGAGAGGATAATATCTGCCATAATAGCTGCTATCCAAAGGTGTGTTATACGTGCACACACACAACAATTAACAGTGAAATTAAACAGCAAAGGAAGCTAATTTGAATGAGTTATTTTTCTCTCTAACTATTATTATAATGAGGCAATATTAGAAATTGACTTGAACTAAACTGTGTTGATACAGTAGCTTGATTTAGCAATTAGCAGATGTAATTAGTACACCTCAGAGAATAGAACTTTCTCTCAGGGTACATTGATTGGTAGAAATATGGAGCATTGTATGTAAATGTAACAAAAAAGGGCTTTTTAAATGAAACTGAACCCCCAGAGACCACTCGGGGCTTCTTGGGGACACCTACGAAAATAGTGCAGCTCATGTTCAAGTTTATTTGGTATCAGTGCCTAACAACTGTTAACTGAAAAGTCAGAATTCCTTTAGGATTCAGGGTTTCCATCACCGTTTGAAGAATGGAGACTAGAAATCCAGAGAGGCGGGGGAGGGTGAAGGGAATAGAGGAGATGAAGATGGCAGCCAGCACAGCACCTCCGCACCCTGCTCCCTTCTGCAGCAGGCTGGCCTCACCCTACTTGGCAGTGGGCACAGCGCTTTGCTCAGAGCAAACACACACCCACATTTACACCCAGAAGGCCACGTTTCAAGCAAAAACCTTCAGCTCCTGTTTAGAACCACACTCGCAACCCAGAGCTTCTAGCCTTGCAAGCACAGGCGTGCAAGGGGACAGTCACAGGAAGGACGAGACTCTTGAATAACATCGGATGTGTGTCACAGACACGTCAGGTCACTGAGTTAGGGTCAGTTCTAGTTTCTGAGGTGCCTGTTGAACGTTTCTAAACACAAAAGTTGCTGCTGTTGCTGAGAGTGGGGAGTCACATGTGAAAAGCCTTGCGCTGCTCCTTCAGTCTTGGCTGAGGCTCAGTGCATAACCAAGGGGACCCAGATGACCCCAGCCTCTGACACCCCGAATTTAGTTACACCCTGCTTGTGCCACTTCTAGCAACGTACTTGTGGATAAGTTACTTAATGTTTCTGAACCTCAGTTTATGCATCTGTCATAAAATAGTAATAAAACCTAGAATAGAATAAAATGGAATAATAATAATACCTTCCACAGAAAGTGTGGTGAGGATTAAAGGGGTGCCATTTAACCCAGAGAGTGATGTGAGACAGGTATTGTGACTCATCTTTATTTTGTAAAAGAGGAAATTAAGGGCTCTGTGAGTTTAGGAATTTGCCCCCCAATCCTGAGTCTAAAGAAGCACTATATCAACCCTAAAGAAACACAGAACTGGTCTGGAGACCTTGAGTATCAACCCAATGCATTTATCCATAAACACTTATTGAGTGCCTACTGTGTGCAAGACACTGTTCTGGGCACTAGAACTTCGTGAGGAATGGAACAGAAAATGTTCCTGCACATGTAACTTCTACATTTGTTTTAGTGCAGGGGAGGGAAGCAGAAATGGATAAATAATGCCCCCCACCACGCCACCGAAGTATGTAAGACCACTGTGGAGAAAGATGCCAAGTTGAAAACAGAAGCTCTTGGGGAAGATGAGATCATGACGGGTAGAGGAGTCCACTAGGGGCCAGTGTCCAGGGAGTGACCTGTTTTTAAAAGGACAGTCAGGGAAGTTCTCTGCCACATGAGGACTGAGCAGGGGATGGGAGGAGGTGAGACATGAAGCCTCTTGTAATTCAGGGGAAGCAGCTTCTAGAAAGAAGGAGCCACAACAGTAAAGTTTCTGAAACTGAGATGGGCTTGGAAGAAAGAGGAAGAATAAGCTAGGCCATGGCCAGAATGGAGAAGGCGAGTAGGAGAATGGTAGGGGCGTGAGAGAACAGCATTTCCTGCAAGGAAATGCGAATAGGTGCTATTCTGTGCAGGTATTACCACTTCAACTCCAAAAGAAAGGCTGGGGGGGGACCCGCAGGCTCACACCCTACATCATAGCTGGTCGCTGATCAGCAGCTCCTGGCCCGACCAGCCTGCCACACCGAGATGATTACTACCACACATCTCCCTCAGCCAGAGCTGGCAGCCTTTGGCAGGAATGCCCTCTCCTTAGAAGCTGCCATACTAGGGCCCTCCCTCGTAGCACAACAGGTTGGGATGCAGCACTGCAAGCCACAGCCACATCAGTGTGAATTTGATCCTCTGTGGCCCCGGAGGTGACCCACATGGCGTGGCAGACCTCTCCTGACCCGTCTGCTGTTCCCCTCAGCAGTGTACCTTGTGGATCTGCCTGTTCTGCTCCCCACTCTGTCTCTGGTGAATCCTCTCATCACCCCTGCACCTCTAGCCTGTGCCCAGTTCTGTATGCATAAATAAGTAAACCTTTTGAAAAAAAAAAAAAGTAAACAGTCATTTCAGGAAGGCTCAATATGAAAATGAGTGTCTTCAAAGATCATCTTGGATCTGAAGCAAGGGGTTAAAGTGCAGCATTATGAAGCTATCCACAGCCACTGCAGCATAAGGTTGATGTCCAGCCAGGAAGGTGACCACAAGGCACAGCAGACCTCTCCTGTCTCACCTGCTGCTCCCCTCAGCAGCGTATTTCAGTCAGCCCACCTGTTCTGCTCCCCACTCTGTCTCTGGTGAATCTTCTCACCCCCCCCCAACACCTCTGACCCACATCCCAGCTCTTGTATGCATCAATAAGTAAATCTTTAAAAGAAAAAAAAAAGATCATCTTAAAATCTTACTTCCTAACCAACCACCTCCCATGAGCCAGTGCAATTTATCCATCTTCCAACTGTTGCCACCACTTGGCTAAAGATAGCTGGCTGTTAAGCCTCCATCTAACAAGCCCTATTCTCACATAGCCAGTCATTCTGAGTGTCCTGAGAAACCCCAAGCCATCTTTGATCGAACATGAATGGTGAAAGGGTGGGAGGAAACATTCATTCGCCTTTGAGACACAGTTCAGGTGTTTCAACTCACCTTGACTGAACCTGCATGGGAAGAACTCTCCGTCTCACCAGGTCTGAGATCTTGGGTTCTCGGCAGGCTGGGAATGAAAGGTAACACTTCATAACCCTTCCCAGATGAACTGCTAACATTCATTTCAGATTCTCACCCAGCGACCTTTCTGGACATGGGATGCAAATGCCCAGATCAGCTGACCACTCCCTCAGCAAGAGGCATGCTGCCGATCACCTAAACCACTCTCTGAAGAACATAAGTAACACACCCCCTCTGAAAAGCAACCTGTCCATCACCTCCTAAGGACCACCTTCCGGGGGTACCCAAATAAAGGTGGTCAATAGGTTAGGACTACCTACTCACAAAGACAGTGTTATGGAACGTTTCCAAAACAGACTAAAAGTCAAAAGTAGAGGTTCCCCACCACAGCCTGGCAAAGGGAGTTCCAGGATCCTCACTGGAACCCAGATAGTTGGTGCTTCATGGAGAACTGATTCCTGCAGGTGCTTTCTCTGCAATTACGGCTCGAGCTGCCATTCGAGGGCAGCCCGAGGCTGTAGTCTCTTGCTTTCTCCACCAGTGAAAAGGAACCTGTCCCTCTTCGCTTTCCCAGTCAAGCAGCCAACATTTGTTAATTAGCAACCTAGGGATCTTTGGTGGGATTAATTTGTAAGAGAAGAGTGGACAAAAATCTCCAAGGACGTATGGAACACCGTTTCCATGCTTAATGAAATCAAGAATCAGAGTCTGTGCTGGCGGGGGTGAAGGTCGCTTCTGGCGTAAGTCTAAAGTGATTTCTTCCTTTTACAAGTCATTTTCTTTCATGCCTTTTCCTCGGATTTGGGTTGTTGACAAACACCCAGAAGGGATAGTGGAGGATTGAGGCAATTATCTGGATAATCTAGGCCAAGGACATTGCTTTTCTTCCAGGAAACAGCTAAATTATTGTGACCTGCCCCCAAATTGTGGGGCTGCTGGCATGGGGCAAGGAGTGAATGAATTCAGAAAAAACTCCTCATTCCTCTGCCAAGGGGATGAGGTTCAAACATCTAACCCGCATTCCATTTTTCTGGTCTCAAATGACCTTTTAAGCGGTGGCTCCCTGATTCCCAAATGGCCACGCTTTGAGTTTACATGATTCTTCACATCTGCCTACACTTCTTGTCCGTTGTCGTCCTAAAGGAGTATTTCTCCCTAACTCTCTCCACCTTCACACATCCTTCTCGGCTTCCCAGACTGCACCAATCCCACCTGCTACACGCACCCCCCTTCTAAGAAATGCTGTTTCCTTTCTCTAAATCAACACTAAGTCATCACTTCCTGTAACTCTCCTTTGCTTTCTGTCTTTTTTTGTATAATTAGTTACAGAAGTAATGCTGTTTTAAATGTATGGTTTAGGTGCCCAGCACTGGAATTTGACACCTACTACATACTACATTATGTTTGCCACCAAAATGTCTGGTTTCCATCCACACTACACAGTTGGTTCCCTTTACAAAATTTTACCCAGCCGCCCCTGGCTTACGTTTTTAAACATCTTAATATTTCATGTGGGCTGGTAGGGATAATATATCTTTTTTAAATTTAATTTTTATTATATATATATATATATATACACACACACACACACACATATACATATGGACTTCCCACTACCACTTCACCCATGTGCCATCACCATAGTCCCATGTGCTCTTCCCACACAAGTTTTGATCCTATTCCCCTCTCCACCCCTGTGGAATGTCTCTGGTTTATAGCCGTTTGTTGACTTTTGTGGAGGGATGATATTTCTATTGTGTTTTTATTTCTTCCACTAATAGGTAAATGTAGCTATAAAAATGCATACTCATTGCTTCAATTCTTCTTGAGATTTCCATATATAAAATTCAGGCCTGTCTTCTTTTCTAACTGCTCCTGTAACTACATGACTCTTCTTGAGCACATCTAGATGTGATTAGAATTAGCAGGCCCTTCCAAGATTCAAAAAGGAAACCAACATTTCTAGGGATGCTTTCCAACCTGTTAGTTAAGTGTGGTTCCAGCAAGAACATAAGAGACAAAGGCATTTTTCCAGAAACTCAAAAACATGTATAGGAGCTACTGAAAAGCAGCAACTCCAGCTATCTCTACAGGCTTCAGAAATACGTGCACATTACCTTTTATGCAAATGGGTTGCTTCCCCGACCACTCTCCATTCTGCTGGCAAATTCTCTTCTCATTGCCACTGAGAACATATGAGTTGTTGCAAAAGAAGGACACAACCGTGCCAACTTTTGCAGAATGACCATTGATAAGCCCAGGGCCTGCTGTTATTTTCTTGTACCCATTGACTGGGCCCCCTGGGTCTGAGCAGTTTGTTTCTTCAAGAACTGAAAGTGAAAAGAAAAGGAGAATTATGACAAGTCTGAAGCACTCCATCCTAGAATCAAATCTTTTCATATTTCTTTGCAGTGATATGGAGCTTACTTAGAATGACACTCCAAGGAATTACCAAGAGAAGGTGCATAATAGAAAATGCATGTCTTGGACATGTCTTCCCTGGCTTGGATGATTTATTGCATTTCATTTCACATATAAATAAGTTTGACACCACAACTGGCTCTCCTGTGGTCACCTTCACCTCTCTCTCAAACTGTGGGTCCTGGACAGGCCTAGACAAAGTAAATATTGCACTTAGATTTCATGATCAGAATACAAAGCTATTGTATTTCAGTGCTGTATTATCTCCTTTCTTCCCTAAGGCTTGGGCTAGTCCATTTCCTCTTTGCTTTATACCCAAAAAGTAAAGATGATGAGAAATAACCATGTGTAGAGGGAATTCAGATTTTATTATTCATCTTTAGGAACATAGTTGTAGTATAAAAGTACTAGAGGACAAAATCAATTCAGAGACATAACAGATTTCTCTTGATCTTCAAATAGAACTTCCCATCTACACACTTAATGGTATTCATTACAAAGGTATTTCTATTCTCTAAGTCATGCTGGACAGTTACTTAAAGTAGAAATGACATTAGCAGCTATTCTGAGCACTTAACAGTATATTAGATAGTGTCTGGAAACATTCTATCAGATAGATAACATTTTCCTCAAATGGATTATGGCATAATACTGAATATTACTTGCCTAAGGAAACTAAGTTCCCTAAAAAATTCAACCCTTAATTACTGTGCTTGAGTACCAATCACTCTATCAGCCTTCCTAGTCTCTTTCTAATAATTTCTTCTAAGACACAGGCTCATCCCTATAAAACAGTCCCTATGCAATTCAATTATGTATTTGACATGCTTTTCTTCCCATAACCAGTGCAATTATCTTTTAAGCATCTTATTGCTTGCCCTTAGGCAAGAAAAGAATCTCCATTCAGATACCACTTCAAAAATATTTCAAAACTAAAAATAAATCAATAGTTTCCCTATCTGTAATTTGACGAGGTTGCTATTATTAGCCTAATTACTGATTTGTCTACTCTAAGATTGCCATAGACCACGTGGAAGAAGATCTCATGATCCTCTGGGTGATTCGGGGCTGTGTAATACAAGCAATTTCCCTGGTGAGTGATTCCAAATCCCCATTTTAAGTGTAAAAAGTCCATCTAACTGAGTGAACTGTTTAAAAATACTGAGCTGCTATAAGGAGAGCAATGCACTTTTTGAAACTTCAAGTGGACTCAGAAAGCCTCACTGCTTCTATTTCTAGGAATACTGCTGAGGTGTGGAAGGAACAAGCAGAGAAAGCATGCCATATTGTTTCTGCAGTGGAACTACCTTCTTATAGGCTCATTCTGTAGCCCAGAAACATGTAGCCCAGAAACAAACAACAGAAGAAAATGTGTAGGCTGGATCATCTCGTGAACAAGCTATGTTAGTCCTGCAAGTCTCAGAAAATGGAATTAGTACCCATTATTAGGCTACTTCATAAAATATCCTCATAAAAATATGTTGCTAGCTTTTGACCAAATTCCTATCTGGAAACCCTGGGCCTGTATTGTCACATGACAATCATCAACAGCTCTTCTTAGACAGACACTGATTCTTCACTTGGTCACTGAGCCTGTCAGACCACCTGGTTCTGACAGGCACTTGAATCTGTGGCTAGTTAGCCTATCAAAGAAAGAGGATGTGTGTAACTCAAGGGTAGTTCCTCAACTATTTTGAGCTTTGCTTAATGGAGATGATGGCCAAGCAACTTTGGGTGATAGTTGAAATCAGTCCCAGCATACTGAAAAAAAATGAACTACCCTCTAGCTATGAAACTTTAGCAGAAGAAATCACTTCTATCATTAGTCTTGTTGTTGGATTTCCTCCCCTTTCTTCTATCGTCCACTAGGCTCTTGATCCTCATGGATCATTTTTCTATTACTATTAATGTGGTTAAATAGCTAGCAGGAACAGTGAGTGCTCTCAAATCCTTAGAGATAACAAAGCCTTAGGACAACTCGGATCTTTTCTTTCTATCACTACAGAGACTTTTAAAGAACACTTAAAGAGCAACATGGATGGAGCTGGAAGGGATCAAGCTTAGTGAAATAAGCCAGAAAGAAAAAGAAAAGTACCACCAGATGATTTCACTCATAGCAGGAGTATAAGGACCAGGGGAGGAAAATAAAAGCAATTGTAATAAAGAAAAATGAACAGCTATCTACCAGGGACATTTTACAGGGGTGGAATAGGGAATGGGATAAAAAATGGGGTGGCAGGAAGTGCATGGGACTATGGTGATGGCACATGGGTGAATTGGTGGTGGTAAGTCCACAGGATTACAACTGAGATGGAAAAAGGCACAAAATGATGTAAAAATAAACATAAAAAAATAGAGAAACTGACTCAGGACATACAAACAAGGCTTCCCAAAGTCAAAGAATTCTGCTATAGTTGTATAATTCTTAGCTGGATGCTGTTTAATAATGCAGAATATCTGAAGTCAGGTCACATGTGAACTTTTTGTGTAATATTTCTTTACTCCCAGACCCTAAAAAAGCTATAATTAAATCAATGGTGCACCTCTAACTCAATGAGATCCTAAATGGAGAATCATTATTTGACTTTAAGCTATTATTCATGGATTGTCACCAGGACAGAGTCCAGAGAGGCTTCTGGTTAGGCTCTAGTGGAAGGCAAACCTGTAGGATTAAAATTCAAAAGAAGGTCAGATAGTAGACACAGATCTATAAAGGTTCTAGACAATACAGTTGTCTGATACTATTTAACATACATACTGAATATGTCCAAGGAATTAAAAGATTAGGAATTTCAGGAAAAAACTGAGAACCTTGAAAAATAGCCAGTAGAAAAATCTAGAACCAACAGATTACAATAACAAAAATGTGGAAACTCAGGTGATGTGTTTATGAGTAAATCAGATATAGTTTCAGAGTACAAATAAACCTAAAGATGCCTGTAAAAATGTGCACTGAAACCCAAAAGATAAAAAAATTGAAAAATATGCTGGAACATATAAGGAAATTTGGGATACAATGAGCAGGCTGATAAACAGATAAAAATGGCATCCAAGAAGAAGAGACAATGTAAAGAGATAACAGCTGAAAATTTCCCAAAATTGATGAAAGATATCAACCTACAGATTCCTAAAGTCCCCAGTCAGGTAAACATGAAGAAAATTACACAGACATATTTTTAAAAACTGTTAAAAACCAAAACCAAATAAAAAATGTAGCCATTATCTCTGGCTTATAATGTGAAGAATAATTTTTGCTCTTTTTTTACGCTTTAACTTTTATAATCAAAAAGGAAAAGAAAGTTTGTTATTTTTATTGTTGCTTCTTTTGCTATTGTTTTTGAAGTATCAGGCAAAATGGTTTTGGGTTTTCTCTGCTAAAACTATGCACCTAGCATTGCCTGCGTGGCTTTTTTATGTTCCTGTAGTCTTTCCAGCTGGTGCAAACCATTTTGCCAACTTGCATAATCATAGAGTCCTTCAAATTTGCTTTATATTCTTACTTTATATTCAAGTGAGATTTGTCAGCAGCCTCTGATGGAAAAAGAGTGGTCTCCAGGATCAGAAAGATATAAATTCAAATATTCATTTGGGTCCCTAGTGTCCAGAATAAGCATACAGTAGGTACGCAAGAACTATTTGTTGGGAGGCGAAAAGAATGAAAGGATAATTATCTTTATACTCCAACACTCCATTTTTCTTACTTTTATTGAGGTAACAATTTTTTACAACTTTTTCAGCGGTCTGTTACAACACCATCCCACCACCAAAACATCCAGAATTCTCTACCATAGTCCACTGGATCCCCACACTGCCTGTTCAGCCTTTTCCCTGTCTTCCTCTGGGCTGCATCAATTCTACAGTCAGATATCTAGGATTTGTTTAGTTTCGTTTTTCTGCTCCTGTGTTGTGTTTCTCTATATCCCACATATCACTGAAATCATCTGGTACTTCTTTTCCTAAAAAATATGAATTTAATCATTCTTCCATGAGACAAATGAGAATCTGAGAAAATTAGTCTCGCCAAGCCTTGGTTTTCTCATCTGTGAAACAGGATGCCATTTTTTCTGCCTGGGTTGGTTTTCATCTAAATAACAATCTTCTTTTCCCTTGTTTGCCTTTATATACAAAGCACCCAACTCACATTAAAATCAATATCCTCAAATCAGACAATTGAAAGAACATTTCACAAAGAAATCCAAAGTATACCATTGGGCCAATTCTATATAAAGCAACATTCCACAATATTTTCTGGTCTCTTGGTAATGTCTACACATGATGGGTTTCCAGAACTGGGCTCGGGGTGATGACTCAGACTTCTGGATTGCAACCATGTTCTCTGTACATTTATCTCTTTTATTCCTGCACAACGAAGCCTTGAAATTACATTCCTGCATCAAACTGTTATTGGGCATTATCCCCTCTTTCCTCTCATTTATTTCCTGTACTTTCCAAAGCTAGACACTCTCCTATGATGCTTTTGAAGAGAATTTTTAGATTTTGTCCATCCTTTCCTCTCCTGGTTTAGACATCCACCTGTTGGGTTAATAGGCCATCTGCATCTCATCAGATCATCTCCCCGGGGTTAGATATCAAAGGCCTCCCTTTTTTCCCTTCATGGGTTCTCATTTCAGAATCTTCATACCTGCCTGCTGAACAAGTTCATGATTCTTTTTTCTGTGTGATTTTTTAAGGGCTTTGTGTTTCATTTATCCTCAGAGGGATAAATGTTTTCACACAAAACCAAATGAAAAATTACAGCATCTGCATCTCTGGCCTGGAAGGAAAATCAAGCTCCTGCTTTGCTCAGTAAAATATTCCATGATTAATAATAAATAACCCATCACCCTGTCGCTTTGGGGACTCAGCCTAGGGACATAAACACATTAAGTTTAACATGCCCTTACATGCT